ATCACACAACGCTTCTTCATTTTCTCAGCAGTTTTAGTCATAGAGAATTAGTTCACTTCTAGTTGACTATGATTCCATTACAACTTGATGCATCTGATCCCTTGAAATTTACAGTGATGTTATCGATCCCCGTTTTATGATATCTTACATTAGTCTGTTGAAACAGAAGCATGTCACACACAAAATGCTCACTAGCTATGAATTTATAGATCTGTATATTTCAACTTGGTCGTAGAAGTTTGCCGAATGCATTTTAAGCGTGACTACTTAACTAGTTTACATAAAATATTTGTTCAATATTAAATATTTGAAGTTAATAAATCGAAGGCCATTGGTCAATATTCTGTTTACTTGACACCTTTCATATTCAGGTTCATAAGGAGTCTTGAGAAGGTTCAGTCCCAGCTTCCAAGACGGAAACCTTAACGATCAATATCGAAGTGAGTCACTAACTTCGAAGTAACTGAAAACACCTGACGTTAAATAAAATGTTTAAAATTGATAATTATACAAAGAGATGGCCTTGGTACTAGGCGATGATTAAAAGGGAAGTGAAAACCTTGGTTGCGGCAGGACTTGAATCAGTGGGCTCCAGATCACTGACCTAGTGCCTTTTCCGACTGAGTTATGACATCCAGTTGCTGATATGGTCATAACTTTACTTTAGTCACCGAGGTTTTTTTTCATTTGAACCCCTGATGCACAACTGGCCATTCACTCATCCCATTGGCTGCCTAGATAGGATTCCTCATCTCTAAAATCCTCTATGATCAGAGTGAAGTCAATGTATGGTAGGCAGTTGTACCTCATACCTCAGTTTGAAGAGTATCAGGCCGGTAACCCGCAGGCTAGTGGTTTGAATCCTGCTGCTACCTAAATGTTTGTTTTTCCTCTTAATCATCAATCAGTATCAGAAAACAAAAAAATGTAATATAAAATAAATTTTTCGTTGCATTCCAAACGTGAATAAAAAACTACAACAGATAGAATATGTCATCCATTCTGCTACTAGAACAACTGATGTTTTTCAGTGGAGCAGATCTGAATCTTTCAAGGAAACAAGTATCTTCTCTAGGTCTTCACCACATTCTTCCTACGAGTAGTGACAAGTATGACACTCAGATACATAGAAAAGTAGCAACTTTCAACGTGTACCCGATATCAGATCAATTATTCATTCGAAACATCACGTTTGATTGCAAACTACGAGATAAGGTGAGTTACTCGTAAAGCCTTTTATCAGTTAATGTGAGTGGAGATTATCATAAACACTGGAGTTTTTACTAACTGTTTAGTAAGTGTAACATGTGCAGGTACAATACCGAATAAATTATGAAACAATCTATGTATTCTGGTTTTTATACACTATTTTTATCTATAATATACTGGCTCTATAATGCTACGATGCTCACACTAAAATCATTCCAATAAAATTATGTGCAACTGGAAAGCATTTAATTAAAACTAATGATATTATTTTTGTAAAAAAAGAAAGAATTGCCAACATTTTCTAGCAATAAATTTCTTAGACATTAAACTAACAATAATACTACACTCATTTGTTGAATTCAAAATAAGTTTTCCAGCATTAAATTTATAGTTAGCTAAAAAAGGTAACTTGCAATTCACTTCATGTTTTGTTGCAGTAAAACATTCATCAAAACAACATAAGACTTAACTGACTACGAAAGTACTGAATTATGGTGTTGATTAATAAAAACAGTATGGATTTGAACCTTCATCCTAGGTACTGGAAATCAACCATCTATGAAAGGACTTTCAATCAGAATTTCAAAGAAGCTCATTATGAAGCCATTATCTAAGTAACCGAAGTAAACGTTGTACTACCTTGAATGTTGACCCTCTTAAATACTGTCTTTGATCAGAATTACATCAAAGAAAGAAAATACTTCAAAATACGTTTTCTAATCGTATACCGTGTAGAAAATATGCTAGGATACATTGCCCGAATTTCACTTATACCCTTATTAACCCACCATATTGTACACCTCATGAGCAAATAGTAAAAGACTTTAACTGGATTAAGCCTGGAAAGAATTTTAATCCCTTACGAACGTCAATGTGATACTGTTGGTTTGAATCCCGGTGAGACCAAAGTTATTTTTCTGCTTAAATGATCATTTCTTTACGAAAACTAGCTGTTCAAAGAGTTTTATCTCACAGAGTCTAATTACTAAGTTGCAAACTGTTGAACTTGAATGCCTCTGAATAGCTCTTTTACTGAAGTTGTCATTATAATAAATTGACAGTACAACATCATGCAACCAAACTACATGACGTGAATATTTTAGTTGAACATATCTGTTAAAATATCGTGCTGAAAATCTGAACCGGGATTTCACTTCTTGTAAAGTGTTATTATAACTTGTTTGCTATCCATCTTCTGGATGAACTGACCTAATAAATCACTGATTTCCCAAACAATATTTAAACTTTCATTTCAACAAAGGTAGTGTTCATATGCTGGATTATTTTTTATTCAAATGGTTTTGCGAAAAATGGAGTAACCTGGGGAAAGCTTTACTCAGGAACCGATATTTAACCGGTTCGCGAAATCTATTTTAATTATTCCTATATCTGCTGGTTTCTGATTACTATGAAATCGAACAATTCATCACATTCTAACATGATTACAGAAGTAAGCTTATGATGGCGTAAAATAGTCGATTAACTATATCCGTTTTCAGTGTGATTCTCATACGTCAACTCTTACAAAGCATCGTGTTTCATACGGTACTAATAAAAGCATTTCGATTATCCCACTGCAATGTAACATAAATAATAAAGTTTAGTGTAAGAGTAGAATATGGACAAAATGTAGGAGCATAACTCCATTTTAGACTAGTTTGTTTAGTATAGCACACAGTTATACTGTATTATTTACCTAGATGGTATTTTCAGCACAAATCATTGCTTCATACCATATCAGGGTAATCACATAACTTTTAAACTTCTCCTTTTTTCTCGAAGAAGCCCTTTATCTTTTACTTCCGTCGGTAGTAAACATTCACTGATGTCTGTGATGGGTATAAATTCATTCTTGTTGTATGCATAAAGTGCTGTATCGAAGAACGAAGATTCGTCAACCAATTTCACCTTACACGTAGATATAATAAATTAACGAGTAGTCACCTTACTTAATTTCTCAAAGTGATTATAAGTCACCGTATATATGGCATTAACCAAACGTTTGTCTGAATAACTTATTCTAGTAAGGTCCAATATTCTGTATTTTGATAAACTTTTGTGTTTCAGCATTCAATTTTACCTGAACAGCTATTTTAAACTATGTACTTGACCTCATAATCATTATGCAGTGCTTGACAGATTAGATTATTTCGCTCTACTGGATCTGTAGGATATTTAAGTCTAACGCGTTTCCCTTTGAGTGGTTATGTAGGTTAAAATGTCTACCTAAATATAGTACCGTTTTGTATGATTTCCAACATCAATTGTTTTAGAGGGATGTAGTATTTAGGAAAGTAAAGGAAAATTGACTATTGAGAAGGATCTAACTCTATTTTTTTATCTAATATGGAATATAATTATACATTGCTATTTAATAGGTAACTTATTCCATCACACCAAACTATCAACACCTTTATGAGGATCGGTATTTAACTTTCTACCTTCCGCTGCTGCTGCTAATTCTGTGAAAGCATTGCATGCTAAATTGTTCTTGCAATCGGTATAAGTGCACTAACCGGCCAGTCAGTGAACTTAACCCAGTCCTGCAGATCAGCCACAATCCGAACAGCTCATTGATGACACTTCTGACTGTAGCACCCAATGAAGTGGTTTCAAATTTCTACTGACTGTTCGGATAAGGCTTAAAGGTGATTGCTAACACTCACAAAACAGAATTCGAGTAGGGCTTTCTGTTGGCTGCCTGCAACCAACTGAAATCCACCAAAGTGCAATCAAATGACTAGTCTCCTAGCTCGGGAATCAGACTGAAAAATGATTAGTTGAATTCGCTAAACACTACTAGATAACACGAAAGTGGCAACTCTTCAGTGACCAATCAGTGTATAAAGGGTTGCAGTTAAGATGAGGATGGTATCTTTCATCAGTATGAGTGGATAAAAGGAACCCAAGTATTTCGACCGATGCAGTAACGTAAAAACAAACTTAAAATCTGAAGTAAAATCATAGTCATAGATTTATTACCAGGTCTCTTTTTCAGAAATGAGGACTCTAAGTAGCTAGGGGAATAATTCAAAACTTGAGTTATTGGGAAAATGCTATCAAGAGAAACGAAAAATCGGCTTACTACCTTGATGTAGTTCTACTGAACACTTCTGTGAGTGAAGAACAGTTTCATTTTATACAATATCTAATTTATATATCTGATAAACTTCAAACCAAAGCACTTTAACAAACGCACGCTAACAAGTGAGTAAAAACTTTAAAAATCTTGTATATTATTGCTATATATATATATATATATATATATATATATATATATATATATATATATATATATATATATATATATATTCAGACTCATTGGGATGATTAGGAATACGTTACGCTTCCTTCAATCCTTAATTTACTGACATAAAGCATTTCGCTAACTCAACAATTAATCAACATTCCATGAAAAGCGTACATCCATAAAGCATCATCGGCTTTCTCTGCTACACATATTTTTGCATAAAGACACAAACTTAACTGAGAGAAGCAAATTTGATATCTGAAGGATTTGTAAAATATCATTACTCGCTTCTAAGGAAAACCCTCTTTGTCTGTATAATGTAGGCCATTAGTATCCTAGTCAGCCACCTAGTGCTTCAACAATTAAGCTGTGTCTCAGGTACTCATTTTTGACTGAGGCACTCATAGGCTTAATTCTTCGCATACAGTCTAATTACTACTAAAATCTGTATTGTGGTGCATTATCAACTGAAGTTTCATTCGTGAAAACTTGAAAGTTTTTACCAGAAACTGTACCATTTCTCTTTTCAGCTCTCATTCTAGCCAATTAGATACATACAATTGGATTTCATTATTTACGTAAGAAAAAAATGCGTTGATAATTACACGTCTACACTGGTGAAACAAAAGCATCTTTGATCCCACGAAATATTTTTTTGATAAAATGTAGATATTACTTCTGGAGAATACCAAAAGAGTTGAATATTTTTGAATTCTGTCAAATAATTTCATAAAATGGCATTCAAGGTAACTAAAATTCACCAACGTTATAGACGATAACAGTTTAATTATAAGTATTTCTAGATTACACCATTTCAATGACTGTTAAAACGAAAATTCCTTAAGCCTATATCGGCTTTTAAACATCTAACAACGACCACAGAATAATGCTGCAAGTTATTTCAATATTCCAGTTACACGAAGCCTTAGTGCAAAAACTAAAATAATAATTTCTGTCAGTGCTGCATAAAGCATAACTGATAAGTGTTAACGTCATTAAATTTCCAGCTGATTACCTTGTTATTTGTAGGCATCGGTTATTCTGTACACAATGACCAGACTTTTAGCTTACCCTTATTTTTTTTGTCATATTAACAAAAACAGACTTTTATCTGTCATCGTAATTTTAATAATAAGCAGAAATGCTGAAGGAATGATGTGATTTTCATGAATATACATTATTCTATATTTTTAAATACACTTTGAATGAAACATACAATTTTGTTGTTTTTCATGATGATGATAAAACGAAGGAGGACCAGAATGATATCTTTATTTCTTCATTGACTGTCTAAGTAATTGAAGAATACAACTTTTGGAACAATTCAGCATCTCATGGAATAGCATGGTGTATCTTGACTAATTATGTACTAACTTCTGATTATTTGCATCAGAGAGACAACATGCACTCATGCTCGTCTTCAACAAACAAAATAAGTGAGGAGTTGATATTTGTTTTGTTATTACAAAACAACAACTAACATCATGTTACTGCCACGTGTTGTATTTTTTAATAAGGTGGTACAAAAATTTATCACTGATAGCATTATGTTTCATCAAGAAATATATATATATACATTAGTATTTACTCTTAATCGTGAATCATACGACAGTATACACAGAAAAAACATTCATTTCATACTTGTCATGGTTGATTTTTGGCATGAGACATTGTAAAAAAGACGTAAAGTATCCATTATTGTATCCAATTTCTTTCAAACGATTAGTTATAAAAACATAAAGATGGTTGCTTCAGCGATAATAATAAACAGGTCATATCAGCAGTTGAATGAATGAATGAGTTCACTATGCTTCCTTCACATTTTTTTCAATTTTCATATACACATGTATCTATTAACTACTAAGATGAAGGTTGGATTTAACTCTTACTCGTTGCCCGTTTGCAGCTAATACTGTTCGATTAAGACCAGGTGATGGACGTCTTCTAATTCTACTTAGTGGTAAATTGTCATTTGTAACAGAAGAAAATGGTAAAGCAGAACTTCTGCATTTTCTATGAGGAAAATTTTGCTTCGTTAGTGTGCCTAAAGAATATTTACTATTATATGAAGCATTCGAACGTCTTCCATTATATAATTGTGCACTTAAGTCGATATCTGCATCAGTTTCCGCCAGTAAATATGCTTCGCTACCAAAATGACATCGAAATATTCGACAAAATTCTTGACGGAATTGTTTACTTGTTGCTAAATAGATGGGAAATTTAGCTGCATAATGTGTCATTGCGAAGCATTCAATTAGAACACGTATGGTGAAGAAACGAAAGTAAGCTGTCCAACCGGGATCATTACGAATTTGTTCATCGCTTAGGTATTCATCACCAGTCGGTAGAAGTTTGTGGATTAGTACAGTAACTGCTACTGAAAGATGTGCAGCAATCAAGTAAAATGATGTACACAATAATGTCAGTGTACTTGAACGTACTCCTTTGCTAATTGGTTCTTCAGTTTGACTACGTTCGCAGTTTGAATTTGGAACACCATTCACTTGTGTTACAAGTAAAGCATTTTGCTTTGATTTTATGCTTTTTCGCAGTACGCGAATGACTAGAATGTTTAAAATGAGGCATGTAATAGGTAAACAGAAAAAAAATAATGCCTCCGTTATGAAAGTCCAATTTGTATATAAAGCGAATTCAGTAGATTCTGGGTCTTCTATAGATGGTCTAGTTGTACACACACCATGATCATAAGTATAGACTAGTGCTTGTGCGCTAGCTGTACTTAAGCAGAATGCAAACATAATGGCGATAAATTTAAGAGCACTCCTGCTTGTGGAACGCATTATGCTCCTTTGTGAACGGAATGGATGACATATGGCTAAGTATCGTTCCAAAGTGAATGTGAATGCCAATGTTGGACTCAAATACTGTATTAAGTAGTTTACTACAGAAAATATTTCACAGATCACCGGACGGTCAAGTACACCAAGTTGCCATGCAACGTGTAAATACCAATTCAGATGAACAATAAAAAAGCATAGGTCCACAACACCAAGACTAGCTTGATAGATTGCAGCAGCAGCACTACCTCCTCGTCTCATAGGCCGACTACTCCATACAATGATACTAAATAAACTTCCTGGGAATCCAAGAATAGCCCATAATGGAAAGTTGGCTCTTTCAACTATCGTTAATTGTGGTGCAAATGTTTTAAACAACAGAAGATCACTATTGTTATATCTTTCCCACACAGATATATTCTCAGGCTTATATCCCATAATTATATCCGACTGTAGGACTGAATTTTATACCTCCTTTGTATAGTTGCCATAATGATGAAATAAAATGGGGCATTTCCACGAGCAATCCATTTCTATACATTTTTATAGTATAAAAAGTATTAACCAATCAGATACTGCCAATAGAAAACTTTATCCATATATTAAGCGAAAAAATTCTAGTCGTCTTTTCTATTGGTCTACTTGACAAATGTGATTATTAAATTATCTGATTTGATGGATGCAACAAAAATCTAGCTTCTTTATACAAAGATGGAATATGCTTTGAATTTAGCTTGAATCGGTTGGCCTATTATATCAGTCAAAAGTATGTTTATTGTGGAATTGAACTGACTAACTGTCTAATTCATTTGAAATAAATAGAATACACAATTTATTTCTTTCATTGAAATGGCTCAAAAAAGAATAAACTACAAGGCAGTCTAACTTCGATTTAGTTTTCAGAGATTAGTGAACAGCGGTCACGTCTGATGAAGTTTTGACCACTATTACTACAGCCGAACCAACTAGTAATGAACTCTTACGAACATAGGCTCAACACTAAAAAAATTCATGTTGAAAGAAACGTATCAACCACACTGTTACAGCTATGATGAGAATCATTTCACAGCAAACTTTCAGTTTTTGGCATAAGTAAAAATGTATAGCTTAATGCGAAGGATAGACGCTTCCATCATCTAAACTTGAGACTTTTGAATTGCAGCTTACCTTTTCATAAGTATGGACTGCTTAATTGACGTTTTCACAGACTGTTCGAAAATATAGCGTTTCCGTACATTGAATATTTCCATTCAGACATTTAGAAAAAAGACCAAACGAGGGAAAAAATATATTTAAACAGAGTGATCAGAAGACGAAGATTATCTGAAACATGTGATGTATTAGCGCTATCTATACATTTCGAACAATCTGATCACACATGGGCTTGTTGAACTATTTATATGAAAATTTACGGAAAAGGTCAATGAAGTTAATTGGAAACATAGGACTAGGAAGGGAGAGAAAAAAGAAAAAAAACCTACTCTTTGTATGAAAATTAAAATCAATACTACCAATATAAACGTGGTTTAGTTAGATGCTTATTCAACGGCGAAAGCCACATCTGCACCAATGAAACCAGGGAGGAAGAAACCAACTTACTGACGACAACACTGACACAGAATGGATGCCCGTTGAGATTTATCGACCGGTGCAAAAGTTATGTACCAATGAAAAGTACATAGTGTTTCGCTGCTAAGACAAATGTCTACATCTCATTACCGTTTAGAGGTAATTCACATAGCTTTGTTGTGAGGAAAAGACTTAGATCGGCCAACTAAAACGTGTTATGCAGCCAAGGTCATCATTGTAGAGAAGACCAAGTCCGTGTTACAGCACAAATCGAAACAACATTACATCACATCCCACTGTGTTTATCAATTTACGTGTATGTGTGGACACACATATATAGGGAGGAGTAATCGTGATATGCAGTTAAGGTAGGTTGAACATGTACCTAAGTGGCTACAAAAACAAATGACTTCAACGGATCCGATAAGTGCAGGTGACAAACATCCATCCTCGTCTATCGCTAAACATATGCTAGAGACTAACCATAGGATAGACATGAAAACAGACTTTAACGTACTATATAAAAGTGGTCATAGCCGAGTGCTTAACTGTTTGTATCCGTAATTTCAAACCCCCTATATGTATATAAAAACAATTCGTACTCACGTTGAACCTATCTTGGTAGTATTGATTTTAATTTTCATACAAAGAGTAGGTTTTTTTTCTTTTTTCTCTCCCTTCCTAGTCCTATGTTTCCAATTAACTTCATTGACCTTTTCCGTAAATTTTCATATAAATAGTTCAACAAGCCCATGTGTGATCAGATTGTTCGAAATGTATAGATAGCGCTAATACATCACATGTTTCAGATAATCTTCGTCTTCTGATTACGCTGTTTAAATTTATCAAGGGGACCAGTTACTTTGATATAATATATTCTTTTTCAATTAGGTCTTCGTCTCTGCCACTACAGTAATTCACAGGTTACCAATCCAATTGAAAGCCCATCAAGAGGTGGGTGGTTTGGTGAACAAAGTTTCTAGATTTTAAGTGAGTCATGGAGACAATAAGCTTTAGAAAGTAAGATGCAAATAATCAGTAGAGTAATTAAGTTGTTGGTATGAAACAGGATTATTATTATTATTAGTCCCTTGGGTTCCTAGTGGAACATAGGGCTTCAGTAGCACCTCTCCAGTGAACTCTGTTCTCTGAGATCTTTTCAACCTGGTTCCACAACAGCCCACAAGCTCTCATTTCCTCCTCCCACGATCTCCTCCATGTCACCCTCGGACGTCCAACTCGTCGCTTCCCGTGGGGGTTCCACTCGAGGGCCTGGCCTGACGGGTGATGTCCCCGGTCGGCCTTCTCAGTGTATGCCCAGTCCACCTTTACTTCCTTCTGCATATTTGTTGCGTGATAGGTTCTTGGTTGGTTCGTTCCCAGAGCTCCTTGTTGCTTATTCTTTCTGCCAGTCCATCTGATCTTCAGTAACGAGCGTAAGCAGTTGATGATGAATGTCTGTAGTTTGTTGGAAATCCCTTTCCTAAAAAGCCAAGTCTCTGAACCATACAGAAGCACTGACTTGCGTTGGTGTTGAAAATCCGTATCTTGTTCCACATGCTGGGTGCAGAAGATCTCCACACTGGTTTCAGGCTAATGAACGCCTCTCTTGCTTTTCCGATCCTGGATGCTTTGAAATCCCCGTCTGTACCTTCTGTTGTTGAAACAGTGCTTCCTAGAAAGGTGAAAGAGACAACTTCCCTTAAGTTTCTCCCGTTCATGGTGATTGCAGTTTGTTGTTATTTGTGGTGTTGTTGGTGCCGTATCTTCATCACCTCTGACGTCTCTATATTCACTTGAAATCCCGTCTTCGCTGCCCTGCCTCTTCTGACAACTTGTTAGTTTTCGCCTATAGATCTTCAAGTTTGTGTGACATCAGGCACAAGTCATTGGCGAAATCCAGATCTTCAAGGACCTTTTCTCCGGTCCAGCCAGCGTATCCCGCTCTTCTCGCTAGTCACTGTTTGCTGCATGATCCAGTCCAGTTGACCACAATCAGGAATATCATGGGGAATAGTAGGCAACCTTGTTTCACTCCTGTCTGACTTCACTTCAAACGCATCACCGAGCTTTCCATTGTGAATTACCTGACATGTGACATCTTCACATAGTTGTTGAATGAGGTGGATAAAGTTTTTCGGTATTCCGTAGTAATGAAGCAGTTTCCAAATTATCTCTCGGTCGGCGCTGTCCAAGGCCTTCTCAAAGTCCATAAAGTTGAGGTAGAGAGCTGATTGCCATTCTATGCTCTGTTCTATGATGATGCTTAGTGTAGCGTTGCAATTTGGTCCGCACATGATTTGTACTTCCTGAAGCCTGCCTGCCAGCCTGTTCCGGTGGTAGTCTTGAATCTAGCGCATCCTTTAGTCTCTCCAGGATGATGCGGCTTAAGATTTTGCTTGCTCCAGGTGGACAGGAGAGTGATTCCGCGCCAGGTCTTGCAAACGCTTAGGTCGCCCTTCTTTGGGAGTTTGACAAAGTAACCCTTCTTCTAATCAATCGGCGGGTACCTTCCCTTCCTTCCTTCTTTCCACACCTTCTGCAATAATGATGTGAGCATGTCCACTGTTGTCTCTGCGTCTGTTCTCAGTGCTTCTGGTGGGATCCCATCTGGTCCTGCTGCTTTCCCACATTTCAGTAACTTTGTGGTGTTCAGGACTTCCACTTTTGTTGAAGGATTTATGTTCACTTGTAGTTCAGTGGCCGGGCTGCAGGTGGTATTTCTGGACAAAGTGCAGCTTTTCGAAGTGGTCAGCTCATCGTTTCCTTTGTTTCTCTTCTTTCATAATTATATTTCCTTCTTCATCTTCTATTGGTTTCATCTGCGTTGATTGCTTCCCAGATGGTAACCTGGTCATTTGATACAATGTTGTCAAGTCTCTGACTCTCCTACCTGAGGCCTGTTCTGCTTCACTTGTCATTGTGTCGTGGAAGTGTCTTTTGTCTCTGCGTTCACTTTTATTCACTTCTTTGTCCCGTGTAGTGTTCTATACATTGAACTCAGTTCCTCTTCTCCTTGTGGATCCTTGCACCTGTTCATCTTCTGTTTCACCATCCTCCTCTCCCTCCTCTATCAGCTTCCATGTATCCATTGAGATCCATTCCTTGTCTTGTTCTACTTCTTCTTCCTTCCTAATACGGTTGTGCAGGTTTCTTTCCACATCTCTTTCAAAGACTTCCAATGTTCTTCCACACAGGTTTCTACAGGAATGTTCCTTGATATCTCCCATTTTGTCTTGATGGCTGACTGATGTGAAGATTTCCTTTGTAATTTCATCCTTCAGTTTCCGAGTGTTGTACTTGAATTGAGGTCTATCACCAGCTTCCTTGAAGGCTTTCAACTTGATTTGGAGGGTTCCTTGCACTAGACAGTGAGTGGTCTGAGCCTACATATGCTCCTCTTCCTGACCTTGTATCAAGTAGGTTGCGTCTACATTTTCTTAAGATTGAGATGAAATCGATCTGACTTTTAGTGTGTCCTGGTGTCTGGTGAAATCCATGTGGCTTTGTGGATATCTTTGTGATTGAACACAGTGCCTGACTCCAATCACCAAATCGCTGAATGCACAGAATCCTGCAAACAATTCTCCATTCTCGTTCATCACCTCACCGAGCGCTTCTCGACACATGATTAGTTCTCTTCCTGTGTTGTCCGCTCCCAGGTTGGCATTCATGTCGCCCATTAGAATTTGATATCGCCAACTGACGTCTTGTCCAGTGTTGACTGAAGTTGTCTGTAGAATTCTTCCTTTTTCTCTTGCTCCGCATTATTTGTAGGTGCACAGCGTAGCGTTGTATGAGTGTGACCTTCCTTCCTTTTGAATTGAATCTTGCTGTCATGATCCTGATGCTGGAGGAGATTGGTTCCCACTGCATGAGAGCCTTCGATGCTGTTGGGGATATCATGATAGCCACTCCAAAACTCAGTGGGCTCGTGGTTGTCGTCTGGGTGACAATATCGGAGTAGATGATTGATTCTCCAGTTGACAGTTTGGAGAG